ATATGCTTATATTAACTGAGTATGTTATAGCCATTGGCAAACTTGTATGATGATTATTTCTTCCAGAGAAGGTCATCCTGTATCATGTGCTTTACAATAGAGAGATGCTTATGTAATACAATTATCCAAACCACCCGGATGACACCAGCTAAGTCAGGACCAGACTTTCTTATGGGTCAGTTCTGGATTATTTCTGTGTATTATACAACAAGACTGCTTATCACAAAATGCTTAAATGGTATTGGGAGCAAAGCTCAGCACCCAGGACTCCCTGTCCCACTTAAGCACCCTAACCATGGGGCTACATAGCCACACTTTCTCCTATTTTCTTTCTTTCCCCGTGGATTCTTGCATGCTTAGCTTCAACAGGAGGGTGGAAAATGGTCCTTCCAACCTAACTGAAAACCTTGTGTCTGGAGCATTCATATGGCCGATGGGAGCTATGGGTTTGAACCCTCCTGGTTTGGGAGCCCCTGGAGCTCTGATCTCAGGGTCTCTGTGCAGTGCTTTTCTCACCAGACAACTATACCAGCCGTGAGTAATGTCAACTCCTCCTCCGCCTGCGTGTTAAAGGATGATGTTAAAATGCTATGCGGTTCTTAAATATGGTTATAGGCATTGTGAAAGAAATTAGGAGCTTCTGTCCTTTGGATTTTAGGCATCCTGTAGGACTGAACGCTGCAACCATATAATCTTCCAAACTTGCTTGCTAGTCTAAAAAAAAAGCCAGAACTTCTTTTCACAGGGATCACTGAGTTCCAAAAAATGGGGGTCCTTCGTACTTACTTTTTGTAGTAACTTGTGAGTAACTGGCAGTCTCAAACACTCTTGTAAACATTAGTCCCAGAGCATCCAGGGGAACTAACATACATTTTTCTCAATTCACAACAAGCAAGCAAGGAAATGCTCAAATGTAGCACCTAGGAAGCAAAATGCATCAGTTGTCCTAGCAGATATTCTGCCTTGGGGATACCATGGACCTAAAACATGCATGTATTTTTGTCTTTCATGTATTACTTCAGACTGCATCCATCCTAATTAGGTTCCTAGATAAGACCGAATAGTGAGTTTCTGTCTATTTTTCCAGTTTCTGAACTCACCCTTTGGCTCAGTGACTGGCTTCCATTTTATATCTCTAGAGAGCGTAACACACTGCCTGAATAACTATGCTGTTTTATGTCCAAGGCACTTATCTGCTTCCATTAAACCACTCTGAGATTTAAAATTAACACAAAAGAAGGGAAAACTACTCTGATCCAGATTTACACCTCAGCTAGTTTGGTCTAAATACAATTATTAAAATTCTAATGGAATTCTTTTTTCCTTGAGATTTTTGTAAACTGTTAACTGTTTCAACAGTAAACAGTTAAAAGCTGAGCTAATTCAGGTTTTATCATATTTTTCCCTTTTGCCAAAATAGACTTAACTGAGAAAAGATGGAAAAATTATTAAAGGGAAATAACGGCCTGAGACTCTGTTCTTGTCAAAAATAATTAAAAGGTAGTCTTACAGAGGCAGAGTTGCAAGATTTGTGATTATAGGGTGGTTGAAGAGTTCCTCAACCTGTCATGGAAGCTGATGGATGATTATTTAGACTTACAGTTGATGGATGATTAAGTAACAGTAACAAAACCACAGTGTCTGAAAGTAAAACAGTTAAATTAGTTTAAATTACTTTTACTATACTAATGACATGAGATACTTGGGGTCCCAGCTGGCACCTTGTATTCCACAAGTTCTGCCTGCTTTCCTCCACTTGTTGTCCATCACATTCATTCATCTTAACCTTTTTTTTTAAGATCCTGTCCATATTTCCTTTGTCTAACTCAAACACTGCTAGGCAAAGGTAGCAATTTTGAATTCTGTTTATTCTACACCCATTTTTATCACTATTCTGTTCATGTCAGGGGATGCAAGATCAGGATATTTAAATATTTAAACACAAAAATGTGTGGAAAGCAAGCCAGTAAAGTCGTCACTGATGGAACGGTTCAGACAAATAACCTTTGCCAGCAATAAAGTGACCCTAAACCTTACAGACATTTGGCAAATACTCTTTAGCTTTCCACTATAGATATTTTCTTGTGAACCTTCTGAATCTTTTTAGTGGTGTCCCCAGTTCATGCCCCACATAATTTGAATATTCCTATAGAAACCCATATGCCTTGGGAATTATCCAGTGGCTTCTCCAAAGTAGCTCCTGTAAGTATTCCTATCTCCCCTCACTTCTTGTGAACTGTTAAGTGAGAAAGAGTCTTCCAAGGGTCCCTGGGGCCATTGACCCACGTATGAGTTTTGGGGCCCTAGAGCAAAGCAGAGTGCTCACCTCCCAAGAGGTTAAAAGCCTCACCAGGAGGCTGTTTTCCTACCAGACAGATTTTGTTTCATGCAGGAGTGAAGGGAATGAAGAAGCTAATTCATATCGGCAAAATCCTCCAAGAGACCTACTGCAAATGATAGTAACCTCAATGCTGAAGTACTAATATTTATGTAACTACAGTAGTCTTAGGACACGTTGATCTAAAAGAGGATCATAGCACAGGAAGAGGTATTGTCCTTTATTAATCAGCTCATAGACCTGGAAGAAGCCTTACAAGGAGTGGCTGAGGGAACTGGGGCTGTTTAGTCTGGAGAAGAGGTAGCTGAGGGGAGACCTTATCGCTCTCTACAACTGCCCAACAGGAGGCTGTAGTGAGGTGGGTGTTGGTCTCTTGTCCCAGGTAACTGGTGATAGGACGAGAGGAAATGGCCCCAAGTTGTGCCAGGGCAGGTTTAGTTTGGACATTAGGAAAATTTTTTTCACCGCAAGGGTTGTCAAGCATTGGAACGGGCTGCCCAGGGAAGTGGCTGAGTCCCCATCCCTGGAGATATTTAAAAGATGGGTAGACGAGGTGCTTAGGGACATGGTTTAGTGGTGGGATGGCAGTGTTAGGTTAACAATTGGACTTGATGATCTTAAAGGTCTTTTCCAACCTAAACAATTCTGTGATTCTAAGATGGACAGCTTTTTGGATTGCAGCTGCTGTCATTTCTTATCATGCCTGATGAAATGGACCTGAAAGGAATGGCCCACAGTTTGGGGCTTAGCAGTACAGGAGCACCATAAGACAGCTAAATCTTCACAAAGTGAACTTGATTCATTTCCAGAGCCATCTGTAGATCAGATTTAATTACTAATTAGATGGCTTCATAATCAACTAATGAACATGTTTCTGTACCTTTGAGAAACTAGTGCCTTCTTTAGTAACACAGGATTTTACTAGAAACCCTGTTATTAAACTAATGACCAGCACTAGGGAGAGGATCTCAACTGTAGTGTTTTTCACAGTTTACATGCTTTAGCAGTGTGATTTACTGAGGTTACACTGCAAAATATATTTATGATTTTTATCACAATATTTATTTTAAGTTCTAGATGCTGTCTTAATTTCACTAGATAAGTGGTCTCTCATAAGCTGTTTGCACCCTTTACAATTGACATAATTTATTAAATGCTTTTCAGTACAAGGCTTTTTATATTATGTAGTGGATGTGTGCATAGTATATTGCATTTACAGGCTTAAACATATGGAATTAATAAAGAGTGATGGCTCTGACAATTTTCTTTTCTAAATAATGAAACTTTTTTGATTAAGGGCTGGAGATGCCAAGGTAGCCATTCTGTAATCTAACAAACATGTGCACAGATGTACTTGAGCACATGGTCACCAACACATGTCTGTAAACTAACGTAAGTATAATGTGAATCACCGTGGAACTACCCCACAAAAGCCTGATCCAAAGTCTATTTAAATCTATAGAAAGATTCCCACGTATTTCGTTACGTTGTGGTTGAGGTCCAAAGGGGATGATTACGGATGTTTCTTTGCTGAAGGTGGGTTATCAACTTCTTTAAGAACTGGTGAAATCCTCCCGTGGCAAAACTTCCATTGACTTTACTGAGATCAGGATTTTCCTATGTAAAGTTAGACAATCAGCTTTATGTGCTCTTTAATGACCAAGAAGTGATGCTGATAAATCTGGAAATTCCATCATGAATAATTGACCTTCAGCTGCATAAAGTATCTCTGCCAATGCACTACAACCGATACTCTTACACGATAGTGAGATATTTTAGGGAATGTACACTCATTCTTCATTCAGACATCTATTTTATCCTCAGTCCCTGCTGGAATTCACAGACCAAGTGCTCCTTTGCCTTTTCACATGCAAGCTAATTAATGTCAGTGCTGGTGCCATTAAAAATTGCATGATAGCTAGCATGCTTGCCTAAAGAAGTAGAAATCTTGGTTCAAATCCCTCCTCTACCCTATGTGGCCTGAACTTGCATCTCCCGTGCCCTAGGAAGCTGCCTGGACTCTTATGAATGCACATGATACATGACTAAAGCTGTCCTAATTTCTATCAGTTGTTCGGGTATTCATTGAAGGGCTTTATGGGAATGTAGGTCTTCCTTCTCATGGCTGAGTGCCCCAGAAGCACAAAGTTGGAGATTTATTTAGACATTGGGTAATTTGTTCTCCACTCGCTTTCTTTCTCGCCACCCCAAAATAATTATTAGCTATTCCAGGGAGATCTCAGAAAGAGAGGTTTTTGGGACTTCTCTCACTCTGGCTTAGCAGTTTGAGCACTCCTCTGGGAGACATGGTTTAAGAGCTCTTGACAGAGGAGAGCTGCAGAATAAGCAGCTACTGTCACTGCCAGATTGAACAAATTCAGGTACCAGCAATGAAAGGTCTCTGGCTGAAATCATGCTGTCACTGGAGTCAATAGGAAATGAGAAAAAAATCACGGTTTCCTTCATAATGAAAACAGGCACACAAACTGAAAAGGAGAAACTTCAGGTTAATACTGTTTCCTTTTCTAACTATTCTGCTCCTGCTTACTAATTTACTCTTTCTTGTCATTGTTTAGGACATGGCCTCAAGGGTTTTCTTTTCTGTGAATTTTATCAGCTGTCTTCTTTTTTAAAAATATAACCTTTTTTTCCTTTCCTGCAGGTCCTGTTGCCACCATATGATGATCCTGTGAATGGAGCTGCTAAAGATCCACCACCACCTTACGTGTCAGCATAAGCGAGAGAGTGCTGCGTACCTAGGGAGGATAGCTTTACTTTTCAGACATCGGAGCAATAGTTTGATAATTTCACTTCCAGGATAAAAATTCTATGGGTTGTACATTGCTGTTTTGCTGACATATTGAAATCTAAATTGTATGATTAAAATTCTGTAGGTAGTTTTAGTAACTTGCTGCAACTACAGTAGTGTTTCAGAAACTAGTGAACTAGTTTCAGAACAATTCTGGATAGCGCTAAGGTTACGGTAGTCACTGAATAGCTTTTTCTACCATGTCTGACATGCAGTGCTAGAGAACATAGAACTTTGCATTTTCAATCAGGTTCAGAGTGTACCTTTCTTTTTTTTTAATTTTTAAAACTTCCAAAGCGAATGTGTTTCTCAGATGCCCACTTTCACCTTCAGAATACAGACCAAATCCAAAAAAGTGACATTCCACTCCATTCCTGTTCTGCAAGCATTTATTAAGTTATTATGCTATGAAAGATGATGATTGCAAGAAGAAGAATGTGTCTTACTCACTATTCTCATCAACCTGGCTAATGGGAAACAAACTTAATTGGGAAGAATAAGTATGGGAAATGAGAGTAGACAAAGCACTCTCTGATGTGTAACAAGCCAGAACCTGTGGTCTACATGAACTCACTTTGTCCCAGCCTGCAACCATCCTAACGCTCAAAAAAAAAGAGTTCTTACCAACTTCTGGTAATTTTTTTTCCCTGCCTACACAACCTTTTCCTCCCCACCAACTTCACAAATAGTTTTTTGAGGTCACAAAATCCCTGCTTTTAAAGTCCCATGGTTAGGTGACAAAGCTGCGTCTTTCGCACTCAATATGCAAATGTTTTCCCATTGGAATGTGCCTGTAAATATCGCAATGTTCTGCTGAGTGTGAACTAAATTACGCAGATTCTAAGATATATGTTCCCAGCCTATGGGAAATTTATGCATGTAACTTCCTCTAGCATTAGTGGATATGTTTTGCGTGTTTCTTGTATACATCAGTGTGGGGATTTTAGATTCCTTTTATGACTGAACTTGTTGTGCTGAGAATCTTTCTCATGGGACTCATCCATCCATGAATGCTTGCGTGAGGTATTTATTTCTTCCCCAGAGAAGTGCCTCCTGCACATTTAACTTTTTGTTCTTCATGAAGGTTCTACTTTGAATTGAAAAGGAACAGGAAAAGGGAATATAATGTGTGTCTCTACCTCTCATCTTTTCTCCCTGTGTTGTCTCCTCTGCATTTGGGGTGATTGGACAGGCTGAAGCTAGACTGATGCCACTGCATGCTGCCCCAGGTAATGGGCAGCGCCGAGCTGAGCCACAGTTGGGAGGGGCACCAGGGGAAACCAAGGTGCCATCTCTCCTGTGACTGGGCTGGCATGTGAGCCCACACCCTTCCTGCGGAGGACACCCGTTCTCACCCTCGGTGCATTGACTCCATTCTGCAGACCCAAGAAGAGTGGAGCTTTTCCTGCCTTTTTCTGGAAAAAGCGCTTTCCAGGGTAACACAGGACCAACAACTTCTTTCCACAGAGGTTGCCATTGCGACCTGTCCTTGCAGAGGCCAGGGAAGGAAGGGCCAGACTCTTTCTGCCTGTCTCTTCCACACCCCCGGGAAAAGGCGGGTCCTCATCTGCTCATTGGAATTGTACTTCAGGGTGCATCTACTCTGAGATCAAACTAAGCAATGCTTTTGACTGAACCAATCCTGAGGTCATTGATCTCTGTCCTATCACTTCCTTCAGAATAATGCCATGTATTATTATCTCGTTACAGTTATCTTTGGGAATTAATCTGAATTTGGGGGTTGGGCTGGCTGGCTGGGCTTCTGAGCTTCATTTTCTTTCATCCTTGACAGATTTGTGAAGGATTTTAAACAGTCATCTGTTTGAGAAAAGCTGGTTGTAAATACATCACATCTGTGTATACAAACTTCTCTACAATAAAAGGGTGTTTCCTCAAGACTATGGAAGTAGTTTTTGCTGGTCTTCCAAGCACAAGTGTACACAAACTCCTGTCCAGTCAGTCTGACATGGCAGGATTTTCCCTGTAAACGACCTAAGCAACAGCTTAGGTCCATTCACCAGCTTTCCCTCCGTACTGTACAAATGGAGAATAGAACAGTAAGTTCTATAATTTATTGTACAATAAAACCAAGAGATAATTCAAGCTTTTTATTCATTATCCAGAACTGCAGGCAGTTTTCCAGATCTGACGAAGTGTGTGATACGGAACAGGGCGATACTGAGCTGCACCAAGAGCTGGGGCTTCTTTTTCTCCACATCATTATAGGGATGATGTTGTGCTAATTCACATGAAATTTCTGTAGACTTTAGCTTGTCTTACTAAAGAATCAAGACTTCTTCACACGTACCATACGTGCATAAGTGCAAGTACATGTGTCCTGCCAGTACTCCTAGTACCTTTTGGTTTTTCTCCAATTTGAGATAAAGAGGGCAGGGAGGTTATGGTATCAAACCCACGACATTCCTACACATACTGTAGATAAACAGCTGGCTAGGAGGGAGCAGATAATGTAATGTAAGTAAGTTCAGCTCTGCTAACGTATCCAAGGATCCACGTGGGAGACGAGTTCCCCCCCTCCCAAAGATAAACGAGATTCTCTGGGTTACAAGAAGAGACACGAACTCCAGCTGAAGGCGTTTTATCCTCAGTTGTTGGAATTCTTTCTCCATTTCCATGTCTAATCCTGGGGAATTCACACCACAGCTTTTCTATAATTCGTTTTTAATAGTCAGTCATCTGTGACACAGAAACCCATTAAAAACCTGGCTTCTTATGTTTCTGTGCTTTGGGAACTGCTTGCTCCTAACAGTGCTTTTTTTCACTTTTCCTTGCATTTTTTCCTTTCTCCCGGATATTAGGAGCATGTGCTTACTCAAATTCTCTCCCGTTTTCTTATCTTAAACTCCTAATATAGCAGTTTATTATTAATACTTGCTAGTAACTTAAGAGTGGAAAGAAAATATTTTCAAGGTATGCTGACTTGAAACATCATAAATATGGGGCCAAAACCAGCAAGTAGGAATCTAAACATTGATAGTACCAGAAATATAAGTAAATCTTTGCCAAAATCTTCTAATTTGTTGAAATATCTGTTATAAGGCATTGCAGGCTTCACAAAGCCTACACATGCTAAGGCACAAATCCCATTTCTCTCATCTGTGACTGATGCTCTTATTCCTGATGGAACAATGCAGTTTCCCTTCATTGTACACCCATCCATGCATCATATCGGAGAAAGCAAAGAGGAATTCATGGTGGTGACCCAACAGTGTGGCACACATGCTTGTAAGTACATTAAGTTTTCTAAAACAATTATTAATGACCGTTATTTTAGGTGTTAGCCTGTCTGTACTTCTTTGGGAAAACCTCTGGTTGGTAAAAACAATCCAGACTTAATGTGCTACCAAAGGACATACCAGATCAATTTATGGCCAGAGAAAAGCTTGGCAAGGAAGCAGGGGGAACGATAACTGGTCTGAAACAAATTCCAAATTCTGTGCTTTCAAAATAGGGCATTCCTCACCACTGCCCTGTTGGCCAAAGTATAGCAACTAGGGACACCATGGACAGTTTTAACGAAGTTTTGCTAATATCATCAAGTCTGCACACTGATGCTTGGAATATGCAAGATGGAAGTCTTGGCTACTGGTAATGGCAGAATGGAGAGAAGAGTGGCAACAGGGACAGAACACAGGAGGGCAACTTTCACGTATATCCATTAAACAGTACAGAGAGACAGATGTTGCATTGACAGGTTCACTGCTATAAACCTCTCTTTTTCCTGTGCTATGGTCAGGAGGAAATAATAGTTGCTCTTGTAAGCTGTTATGTTAGCTGTAATGCCAACTCTGTTTCAGACTTCTCTCACTAGAGTGGATGAGACCTTGGTCACAGAATCACAGAATGGCAAGGGTTGGAAGGGACCTTGGGAGATCATCTAGTCCAACCCTCCTGCTAAAGCAGGTTCTCCTCAAGCATGTTGCACAGGACTTCGTCCAGGCGGGCTTTGAATATCTTCAGAGAAGGAGACTCCACAACCCCGCTGGGCAGCCTGTTCCAGTGCTCTGTCACCCTCAAAGTAAAGAAGTTCTTCCTCGTGTTCAACTGAAACCTCTTGTGTTTCAGTTTGTGCCCATTGCCCCTTGAAGACAGCTGCAGATTTCTTTTTCTAAACCTAAAGGAGTATTGGTTACATTCTCACCAAGCTGTCTGGTTTGACGGAAGACTCTGAGCTGCTTCCCTGGAGCTAAGTTACATCCTTCCCATTTACATGTCTCCATTAGCTGCAGAAGTTGCAGTCAAGTACCATGAAATAGCACTTATTGCAAAATTTCAGTGCCTATGGCTATGGAGATGTTTCCAGCACTGTCTTGGTTCACAGCTCTGAGAGACCCAAACCCGCAGCCACAGCTATCTAAACGGAGGCTTGGCTCTGATAGATCAGGATTAGAGTTCTTTCAGAGAAGGACTCTGGTATTTGTAAATGATGTCTCCACACCCATGGATTTGACCCAAAATGGTTCTGCAACGTGGCCAGTTTTTCAGCTGAATAGCTCAGCAGGGTGTGGAAGCCAGATCTGTGACCTTCTGCTTGCAGCCTGTGTCTACCTCCAGCAGAATAAGATACCGAAGCAACAGGAGTGAAAACCTCATTGTCACCCAGGCAGCAGATATAAAGTTATTTCAAAGCAAAAACGCAGTTCTACAACTATATCCTAGACAATGAGCTACAACAGTAGATTAACTTACATGAAAACTAATGTAGTAAATTACTTTTTTTTTCTTCCAGATTATTCAAACCTTTCAAAAGGAGGGTTTTCAGAAAGTCATGAAAGGTTTGTGCTTTGCAGCCAGAGCTGGACTTAACTAATTAGTCTGAGCAAAGGACACAAGGTCACTTGGAAGGCTGAATAAACAGCAAGGAGATGAATCAGGCATGCAGCAGGGCTGGCTACTTGGCTTACAGGAGAAGCTTGCTAGCCAGCAGAGACAGAAGAGCTGTGAAGCTGCTCTGAGAGAGGGATTTGCAGCACGGCAGAGCCTCTGCAGCCATTTCAGAGGACTTCTGATTGCTCTTTGAGATCAACATGACCAGCA